ATAATAAAGCTAAGCTTGGTACTGATATGTTTCATTACATTTTAAAATATGTGTTAAAAACAAAAATTAAGGGAAAAGGAACTATGTTTTATGAACAAATACTCTTCATATATTTCAATTATCAGAACAAAGTTATATACTTGAAAAAGCATACAAGTAGAAAATAATTTGAAAAGGACATTTTTATAAGATTTTACCTGTCCTGTAGTCTGCAACCATAATTCCAAGACCCAGAAAAAAATTTTTTAAACTAGGTCTAGTTGCTTGTAGAAGAAAATTCCAGTAATCTATTGGGGTAAAGCTGAGGTTTATTGAAGAAAAAACACAATTTGATCTTAGGAGAAACAATCTACAAAGTAGAACCAAGTGCTCCAGCATTCTGAGGGAAGGGAAAGTCTGTAGTGACTAAATTACAGGGACTAGGAGTTACATGTAGTTCCAAAACAATAACAAAAAATTGAAACGCATTGCCGTTGATTCAAACCGACTCATCATTGATCCTCCAGCATGTTTTCAGAGGCTGTAAGTCCCCTGGGAGGAGAAAAACCAATCTTTGTCCTGAGGAGCTCCTGGTGGCTTCAAACCACTAGAGAGGTGCCAGCTTTAAATTAGCTACGCAACTCCCTGCTAACTCAGGCTTCAGAGTTCCTTTCTAAAACAACGGGAAATTAAAGTTTTGCAAGGTTAGCTAACCTACCTTCTAACACAGACTTCCTGGACTCAAGCCAGTGAGTTATCCTCTGGAATATCTATATACACATTCTTGTCAGGCTGTGCTGTGTCCCCAAGGCTGCCTTGGCACACGTTTCTTCACAAACCATATCCTCCATTGTTTAATGAGAGTGGCTTAAAGTTCCACCATAAAGTTCTCAAGGCTCCAAATCACAGACCCCATTCTTAGGGAAGCAGAAGAAGAACAAGCTAAAAAGTCTTTCTAACAATAACAAAAACCAAATGAATTCTGATTCAGATCCAGGCTAGTCCTTTTCAGTCATCCCCTGAAGCAGTTTTAGAATGTCCTCACACAGGCTCCATCACTCGCAGGCACTTCTTCTCTTGTTATCTTCCAGGCTAGTCATTGACAATCAGAGAGCAAAGACTAATTCTACACAGAAAAAAAAAACCCCAAAACCCAAAACCAATTACCTACAAATGACTATACAGTGTTTGTAATTGGTACAAATAATAACTTATAGGAAATAAAAGCTAATATATGGTAAAGAGATTATATGACCTATTTGAACATGATATCTGTATATTGAAGCCAAAGCCATTTCTAAGTCCAATTTTTTTATTTTGCATTTGCATAATTTATTGTTACCATCAACAGCGCCAAAGCCATTTTTTATCATTTTTATAATTAATTTTCTTAGAATATGTATAGAAAGGTACACTCTGTCTTTTTACTTTATTCTTTCCATCAGATAGAATATATTCAGGGAATGCTAACATTCAGAAATGTCTCTGTGATTAGGTGCATGTGAATAACAGAATGGAAGCTTGTGCTGACACCTGTGATACCTGTTGAGAAAATGTCACTTGAAAATGAGTTCTTGCATACATTGTAAATACGTTTTTCTTTCTCCCTCCACACATTCTGCCCCGGCTGTTCTGTGTTCCAGACAAGAAGGAATTTGTTGACTATGGGCAGAAGTTCTATATCGGTAGGTGAAAATGGATAAAAGAAGTTGGTTTTTGTCTCAACTCCTTCATAAAAAAGTAAATTCATAAGTAACTTTTGTTTAGTTGACTACAATTTTCTTAAAACCTGGTAGAAAGCCTGGCATGTAAGCACTGAGTCCTTAACTAAGGCAACAGATGGGTTTTTGAATTTTCCCTTCATATTACTTCCTGTCTTCCAACTTCAGATTGTTGTTGTGTGTGGCTGAGTTGGAACCGGCCCATAGCTGACCCTCCAGCAGGTTTTCAGAGGCAGTTATCGCTCGGGGGGAGCCTGCCCTGCCCATCCCTCTAGCAGGTTTTCAGAGGCAGTTAAATCTCTCTGGGGGAGCCTGTCCTGCCCAGCCTTCTCCCACGGAGCAGCTGGCGGATTGGAACTGCATACCTTTGGAACTGCAGCGCAGCTTCTTACCACTAGGCCACCACTGCAACTCCCTACCTTCAGATAAACGTGGCAACATTGATCAACACCTGGTGAGATCTGGCGGCCTAGTAGGTAAGGAGTTGTGCTGTCAACCAGTTTAAATCCACCAGCTGCTCTGAGAGAGAAAAATAATCTCCTTCCGTGTCTCTTAGAGCCACTGAGAATACACTGGAGGGGGTGAGCTCCGAGTCAGTTTGGACTCAATGGCAGTGCGCTTTGCGGTGGGGTGACAGTCACAGTGCTTCATCAGACCTTACGCTCTATGTGTTTCCATCCTCCCGATCGTGTTCCAGCTGGTTTCCGCCACAGCATGCGCCTTTGTCGCCGGAAGGCTCATCTCAGCCGTCTGCACGCCAGTGTGTGCTGCACCAGCGCCTGCTCCAGTGCCGGGGGTGCCCCTTACGAGGAGGTGGTGCAGTACGAGCGACGTCCTTCGGACAAGCACCGCCTGATAGTGCTCGTGGGTACGCCCTGTCCCCTCCCAGAAGGAACCTTTCCTTACAGATTCAGTAAACTTGTACTAGGGTAGTGGTAGAAACAAGTTCTTTGAGGACTCCCAATATAAACAGCTATTTCATTTCAAGAATATATTGAATGTCTTTATAAAGAAAATTTAATCACGAAAACTTAATTGTATCATTCTTATATTGTCTACAAACGAACCCAGTGTGCCACGGTGTATGTGAACTTATAAATCGTGAGATGGTGCTGTAAATTGTGTTCTAAGAATTTTTTCTGTTTAAAATTTCTTGTGTACAAATAGGTGAGTGTTCCCTCAAACCAGCTTACTAAAAATTCTTGAGGTCCATTTTCCTAGGAAAAATTGTAATTGCTCCATTCTGAAAAGTGCCTACGTTCTTCCCTCTGGCCATACTCTACCATTGGTGCTAGAGAACAGGTCAAACATAATGTCAAGGTGGCCTGCTTTTGAACCAAGGTCCCCAAAGGTGGAGCGACTTGCATCTTGCTGGACTCCTCTCTGTGCACCCAGATGTGCTCAGATCAGGCCCTTGGAGCAGAGCAGTGTGCCCTGCAGTCAAACTACGCTATTTCAGGGCCCAGTGCAAAACGAAAAGACAAGGACTCCTTGTTCAAACCTTAAGAACTTGAAGGCAGGCAATAATAATAGAGTATTATATTAAGTGTGGGACCTTTCTAAAGATGGACCCCGTGAGACTGCACAGTGTACATACCTATAAATGAGCCCTGCCTCCAGCCATCCTGGGGTTCCTATGTCAGAGTGTGACCCCTTAAGTCTGTAAGTCACTAAAACCTCTAATCATTGAGGCTGATATTGGAGTAATGACAGGATAGAAAACTTCATTTGAGGAAGAAAGGCAAGTTGTCTCAGATTATCTCTACTGAATAAGGCTGCCAAATTCTCCATGTCCAATATGAGATCGAGTTTTCTGGGGTAACAGGTTCCTGCAATTAATTCCCAGTTTCCTTTCTGTGTATTGAATTGGTTACCAGGAAAATCCCCAAGAGAATTTTGGAGTTGGTCTAATTTGTGAAGAAGGAAGTTATATAATCGCCTTCAAAATATTTGTTCTCCAGTTTTTAATTTTCCAATACACTAACAATTACTTCATCAGCATGTAATTGGTGTTTATTCACATGTAATGGTTTCTGTGTGTGACCTCTGTGGTTTAGGTCCTTCTGGGGTTGGAGTCAATGAACTGAGAAGACAACTCATTGAACTGAATCCCAGCCACTTTCGAAGTGCCGTTCCTCGTATGTTTCATTTTTCTTTTGTAGAAATTCATGTTTTTAAAAAAACTTTCTTCACCCCTGCAGATGCGCCTATTTAGAGGGGTATTTCTTAATTACATTTAATAAGTATTTCTAATTATATTTATTTTAAGAAAGATAATTTATTTACTGGCATATAGCCAGCTAAGTTTTTAAAATGTACTTCTGTCTGTTTTCCTTTTCTTTTTTTAAAAGTAATCAGAGAGATGCCTTTTCAAGAAAAGGTAATATTTAGTAATAACAACTAACATTCATTTGGACCTTACTACTTTTCAGGTACTGCATTTGTTTCTTGAAATGCTTAAATCTTGTTTGAAAAAAATATTCTTTTTACGTTCATGCCCAATTCACTAGTGTCTATTTTGAAGAGTGTAGGTTGTTCTAGTGTTTCCTTACAATCTCCCTGTCTGGCTTAATTCCTTATACAGTGTCTTCCTCACTGTAGCACTCAATAAAGGTTTGTAAAATAACTGATTTTTATATGGAAGCTACTACTTTCTTATCAGCAGCTGCAGCTCCTCCATTTTGACTCTAGTAATATTAATCTGTTTTCATATATTCATTTACTATTTTTGTTGGAATTTTTAATCCAAGTGCATTAGAAAGAAATTAAAACATTTTGAAGAATCTAAAACATTTCATTCCTTTTTTTTTTTTAAAATAGATACTACTCGCTCCAAAAAGAGTTATGAAATGAATGGGCGGGAGTATCATTACGTGTCAAAGGAAACATTTGAAAGCCTCATGTATAGCCACAGGTAAGGTATAGGTTCTTGATTATAGCAACTCGAGGTTTGAATTTGTTCTTCAGTTCCTTGAGCTTAAGAAATGCTGAGCGAGTTCAGCCCTTTTGATTTTCTGACTCCAACTCCTTGCACATTTCATTATAGTATTTTGCTTTGTCATCCTG